AGTGACTTATACACAAGCAACTAACATACAGCCTAGGAGGAATGCCACCAGTTCAGGAGAGCTCCAGACTTGTATCCTATGGTTAGAGGCCAGGGAGATAGAGGTCACAGGAACTTTCGGGGACCTAACCTAGAAACAGACCTGACGCATGAGCTGTTTTGCAAACTTTTTATTAAGAAGTAATTTTGAGTTTATGGGAAAGAATTTCTGCTAAACCAAGAAACCAAGGTTTTTACTTTTTGACCTTCCCTTTCTGTTTACCTTTTTTCCCCATGAATCACATCAAAGTGGGAGACATGATGTGCCATTGCTTCTCAGTGCTTCCTTGTGTGTTTTTATGTACAGAAGTGTAACACACTTATGTCAAGAGGATTGTGTGCCCATGTCCACGCAGACAGCGTTGAGGGAAGGGTCCATATATATGGGGACAGGATGCTGGTTTGAATTGCAGTGACAGTCCCTGATAGAGAAGGGCTGCAAGATTTATCTGGCATGCCATGAATGAAGTTTGTTTTTTAATTAAAGATTATATTTTAATGTATATATGTGTATGTGTGAGTATGGATTTGTGCATGTGAGTGTAGGTGCCCACGGAGGCCAGAGGAGAGTGTTGAATCCTCTGAAGTTGGAGTTACAGGTAGTTGTGAGTCACCTGACACAGGTACTAGGAACTAAACTCCAGTTTAGTTCTCTGCAGGGACAGTATTTGTTTTTAGTGGCTGAGCCATCTCTCCAGGCCCTAAGGTATAACCCAGGCTGGCTTCAAATTCATGATTCTCTTGCTTTTGCCTTTTCATCATATCCTAGTGTATGCCACCAATGCTTTCATACCAAAAAAAAAGCAGCGTTGGCTCAAGAATATGAGGTAGAGGCCTAACACCAGGTTTTGTGCAGTGACTTGGTGACCTGGTGGCATGTTGAAAGGTCTGGTGCTGCACAGTGCTCAGTAAAGTCCCGGGCTGACTGATCTCCTTGGGCCTGGGCACGGATCAGTAACCTATAATAAAGATAGAGGTGTCCTGCAGTATAACATCTATGGAAGACAAAAGCAGACAGATACGAGCTGGGCTGCAGGGCTCTCAGTGACCATGGAAGCATTGCACCACCGTTTTGCATGTAGGAGGAGACCCTGAGCTCTGGTTTCTGGTCTCCTTTCAGGGCAGAGATGGGCCTGGAAGGTTGAGTCACAGATACAGTGGCCCCTTAGCAATTAGACTGATCGGAGCTACAGTACAGTGGGCCCCCATGGGGAGAGGGGAAGGCCGCACCACTGCCACTGAGAGGACAGACTAAGCACTGTGATTTTATGGCCCCTTTCTGGTTGGTCTTGATGGATCTCACTATCTTGCCATACTTGACTGGTTCTCAGATCATTATCTAAATTAGCAATTCCCAGACTCCCTCCTGTACCCATGGGAATGGGATCGGAGAGGTGGTTGGGGTGGGGGTGGGGGAGAGTTTTGGGTCTCCCTGCTCTACTTCTTGTGCAGAGCAGAGCACTGTTTGGGACCTTGGGGAACATTGCATGCAGCAAACTGGTGGCTGGTCCAAAGAAAATGCTGTAAGCTATTGTAAGGCACCGTCTTCTGTGCTAACTAAACAACTGCTTCTGTCCAGATGCCCTCCTTCTCTTTCTTTTTAAAAGACAGTCTGTCTTTCTTGATTTGGCTGGCCTAGAGCATAGGCTTAACCTCCCATCTCTGCCTCCTAAGTGCTGGGATTTGGGGTTACACATGTGTGCCAGTATGCCTGGCTACGCCCTTTTACTTGTTTTTGCATTCCTTTTTTAAAAAAGGAAACAACACCCTGGGTATGGTGGCTCACACCTTTAATCACAGCACAGAGGCAGAAGCTGGTGGCTCTCTCTTGAGTTGGAGGCCAGACTGATCTACAGAGCAAGTTCCAGGACAGCTAGGGCTGGTATACAGAAAAACGATGTCTCAAAAGGAAAAAAAAAAAAAAAAACCACTAAAAGAAAAGAAAACAACAGCGCTGGACATAGTTGCACTTGCCTTTAATCTCAGCACTCTAGCAGTGGCTGACAGATCTGTGAGTTTGAGGCCATCCTGATTTACAGAGTTAGTTCCAGGACAGCCAGGGCCACACAGGGAAACCCTATTTTCAAAAACTAAAAACCCAAAACAAACCCTCTGGCTGTCCTCAGGACAGAGACTGGGCTCTTCTCAGGATGCATCAGCTGCCCAGTCAATGGAATATTCCCCAAGATCCCTTTATCTGAAAACAAACAAGCACAATCTTGAATAACTAATAAAGAAAATACTTAAAAAGGTCTTTGAGAGTCAGAGGCCCTACTGCCTTTGATTTACAAAGGAGGGTCTGGAGCCCAGAAGTTTCAGGTTGTGATGGGGCAGAAAGACCCAGGCTTGAAGTCAGATTTGCCTCTGCCCTCGCTGACACCCTCCTTTGACTGCAGGTAAGAGTTGCAGAGGGAGACAGAGTCACCACCTGGATGAAGCTCAGTATATTCTACAGTAGCTTTAATCAGAGTGTTACGGCTACTCAGCCTTACTGCCTGCTGTTCCGCCTGGAGAGGAGGGTGGGGTCACTGGACTAGAGGGAAGGATGAGTGAAGGATTGGTGTTCTGATAGATGAAAAGTAGTTTGTGCCTGTGCCCTGGGCATGGGTGAGGCTAAAGGAAGAGGTCAGGCCACTGCCCAGATACTGATAAATAAAACACTGGCTTGCTTGGAATTGCTGCCTGCTTCTGCTCAGGGTATTGCCTTCCACATTCTAAGCATGTAGCTGAGCTTCATTTTTTCAGTTCTATCAGTGCCTCACCTATTTATTGGTTATAGAAAATGCAGTGCATTTGTGTACATGTATACACATATGTAATGTGTGTACATGTATACACATATGTAATGCATAAAATAAGCATTCTCCTAGAAGGAGAGTGGAAAATGAAAGAGATGGGCGGTGATGATGGAGAACTTCAGTATTTGACTGTTTTTGAAATAGCAAAATCCCCAAACCTTTGAAGCCACAGCCCCGTGTAGAATAGAGGTTCTCAGATACTAGTGTGTGGTTACCCAAGAGCTTTCTAGCAGTGACTGCTGGCCCCAGCACTGTACCTTTCTCCTGCAGGAGTCAGGATGGGCCAGAGACTGCAGTTCTTGCTGAGCCTCTGCTGTTGCTGCTGCATAGGCCTGTACTAAATCCAGGGCTCCAGAGTCGAGGGTGCTAGATGTCCATTTGCACATCTAGCCCTTGAGAATTCTTCTCCAAATCCCATTCTCCTTCTAAGCACTTCCCAGCTCTAGGCACATTTTTGGAACATGGACTCAGTGTATTTCAGTTGTGACTGTCAACATATTTTTCTCTTTTTAGCCAGGAAGACCAGTAAACAGGTGTTTGTCAGCTACAACCTCTCCAACACAGACAGCAACTTCACGTTACTTGTAGAAAACAGGATCAAGGAAGAAATGGAGACGTTTCCCGAGAAGTTCTGAGTGGCAGAGGGAAGAGTGTGTAACTTGTGTATAAATTACATTTCAATAAACAGGTTGGGTTTTGTCTTAGGCTGCATTCATACCTTGCTTTAAAGAGTTTATTCCTGGGCTGTCTCCTCTTAGTGTAGACGTCAGAAGGCCTGAGCTGACGGGCATTGGCAGGAGAGTAGCAGACAGCACACACACTCCTGACTGGTTCTGGAGAAAGGGGCAAAAGTGTAGTTGGAAACAGTTGAAATTAATGGCTGCTGTGTTCCACACATTCCCAGTCAGAGTTAAGAGCCACAGTGGCTATGCTTTAGGCTCGTGTGGCAGGTCCTGAGGCTTCTGTCTTGTGAACTGATAGATCAGCCTTGTGGGGGCTTCCCCAGTGTTCTCTCTAAGCCTTGCCTGGGCACCTTACTTGTGTTTTATAAAGTTACATTTGAACCTTAGTGCAGCTTTCTAGATCTGTGGTCTCTGGGGTGTCTAGTTTCTTTTGGCCGTTCTTCCCATCTGAGAAATGATAGTAATCCCTAGCCTGCTAAGTGTGTAGAAGTGCTTTGCAAACTGTAAAGGTTGTGCCAGGTAGCAGTCTTGTTTTTTTTTGGACCCCAGTGCCTCAGGCCACTTTGCTCTTATGCCTGTCACCTTTGCTTTCCTTTCTCCCTAGTCCCTGCCCTTTGGCCATTTTTAGTCCTTAGCATTTTCCTGACTACTGCTGGGACTCTAATTGTAATTTTCCACCAGAGGTTCATGTGTTGAGAATCATGTTTTGACAAAAGGTGACCACCATTGCAAAAGAGTTTTCTCTTTGGGGTCCCCCTGGACTCTTTTGTATTGAGAGCAGACAGTTCGGGGCCTATAATTATTTTGCACCATACTAAGACTCTTGCATTGAGCCCCGCAAGGGCAGGTATAAGGACATTTAAGAGTAATAATGTCTGTGGTTTGAGGTGCGGCCTCCTGCATACTTGCCGTGCCAACCTCTGAGGCCTCAGCCAGTGTTTCTGCAGTGCTGAAAGACCAGCGGACAGCTCTCTAGGACAGAATAGTGAGTAACACAAAATCAGCTATGGAGAGAAGAGTTTGGTATAAATGCTTTATTAAAGAAATAATTGTTTTCTTGTTAAAAAATACTACATTAGAGAAGAGCGTTTGGATTATCAGTCTTTCCTCACAGAATCACAGTGTAGATAGTCACTCCTTGACCTCTCTGGGAATCCTCAGGCCACAGGTTAGCAGAACACAAACGAGAAAAAATTCCTCTTAAGTGTGCTGAATTCTCCGATGGTTTGAGAATCACATAAACACTTAAGGTTAATCCGGTCTCAGCCTCTGACCACCCTCTAAGACCAGGACTCCTCAAGCAGACTGAGACCCCACCATCCCCAGGGCAAGTAAAGGCCGCTGACAGAAGAAGCCTTGGAAGTAGTGAGCGGGGAGGTCTGGTCAACGTGGAGGATTTTATTACTTGTCCTCAGTGGTAGTGAAATGCCCTTTGTGGATACCATCAGGTGAGGTAGGGAAGACATTCCAGAGGAAATCTGTTAGTGGGGCAACGTTTTTATTTCTGTACATTTACATACAAATTTTCCCCAAAGGTACAACAGATGCGACACCATGCAGACACGCAGCTGTGAATGACAGCTCAGAGCCCAACATAAACTTGTGCTATGAACAGGTACCGCCCCCATCAACACGTACAGTCATGCGGCTCTTGGGATAAAAGCACGCATGGCGGGGTTGCAGAGGACAGAGGTAGGGAAGCGTTCCTCACTAGACACAACACACCATACTGCTCCAAAACACACACAATACATTATTAGAGTGAGGTGGTGTCCGTAAGAACACGGAGGAGTTGAAGTGTGGGCCTCCCTCGACCTGTGTGCCACCCAGGGGCTGGGTGTGTCGTGGTCACGAGATTCTTTGAATGGCACTTCCAGTTCAGGGACTTCTTGTTTGGCTCTGGGAAGTAGTCATGACTGCGTGTGATATTTCCTTTACAAGATCTGGTTTTGCTTGCTTTCCATTTTGTAGCCAAACCCATTTATCAGCCCTGTCCTCCAGTTGTAGGTGACTATAGTCTTAAAACACAAAAACATCTAAACCTTTTTTTCCTATTCGCCTTGGGTGCTAATAATTAGATAGTTCATAGTATTTGACTTAGTAAAGAGCAAAATGAAGAACTGTTCCAGCCCTGTCTGAGGTGTTCACATTTGTGCATAAGTTATGAAAACAGGTGCAGGGATGAGAGGAGAGGACTACGGCCCTAGAGTGCCCCAGGGATGGAGGAGCCCCACACAAAGGACCAGTGCCTGAGAAGCAACTACCCACGGGAGCACAGGACTGAGTTTAGGGATGGCAGCTTGGTACCAGGGAGTTGGGCTGTGACCACCTTCCTATGGAGCTAGGCCAGAGTATCTGAGGCCTGGGTGTCCTGCTGTCTTTCTGACTCCATGAGACCACACAACAAGCTTAACTACAAGCAAACTTTCCTGTTTGGGCTGCCTCCCATGAGGTGTTCCAGCAGCTTCAGGTACCCATACTCCGAAGCAGAAACTGAATTACTCAGCGGGCCCTGAGGTTGCCACATGAAGGTCAAGACACAGCCAGCAGCCAGCCTTCTGAACTTCTCTGGTTGGTGGTCCCTTGGCCCCTGCCTCAATGGTAGCTTCCCTGATGATCCCTGATAGGTTGCCTCTGATTGCTGTAGCCATTAACACTGCGTTGGCCCAGTGTTTTTACCATTGTCGTTTGAGGTGGAGATTGGAGACTTGGACAAGAAGTTTGGAAGTGCTGTACCTTGACATCACCTCCCTGGTGGTTTTAGCAAAGCTCTTGAGAAGGACAGCACAACCAGTGGAAGACTGTTCTCGGCTATGCGCATGTCTCATTCTCTATTAACAAGAGTTTGCTGCCAGGTGACTTGGTAGCAGGTACCCTGGGCAGGGTGAAAGGTATCTTACAAGTTTGGCACGCAAAGGCTGCACAGATGTAGAGAGGCTTTGGAGAGAGGATGTGTACTGACATCAAGGCATGGAAGGGAGGTGACTAAGAGACCAGGGAGGTAAAGGAAAGATGGACTGGGAGCAGGTATCAGGGACTGGCCACACAACTTCCTTCCTAGACATTGGTCCTCAAGCAAAGCACTCAGGACCCCAGGCATGGAAGAGAACATAGGCCAGCTACTGGAAACATGGCTGCACATCCCAGCTCTACCCTCATGAGGTTTTGATCAAGGCAGCTGGCTTCTGCTGATGTATCTATCAAATGGGGCAGAGAAGCAGGGGAGACTGTAAGAAATAGACCAGACAAGGAGCTGGGAGGGGATAAACTCAACCCTTTTCTAGCTTTTGAATTTGAGCAACTGCCACTTAGAAGTCACGTAGTTGCCCACATAGGCCCAAGACCGTGATTTCCCTGGAAGAACACATGGTAGAGACGCATGGCAAGAGGCAAGGCAGATGGTTGATAAGAAGCCACGGTGCCCAGAGAGGCTGGCACCTGAGCTGCTGCAAGAGGTCCAGAGGCTGGTTTCTCAGCAGCCCTGGGGCCCTGCTGTCTCGGGCTGGATGAGGGACACGGGTAAGGGACATCCTTGGAGGCTGGCACAGGATGGAGTTGAGCTTTGGTGAGTTATTGCTTTCTCTTCTTGCTGCTTTCAAGGACTAGAGGCCATGTGGCCTCACCTGTGAGCAACCTGCACTCCTGCCCAGGACCCTTTTGTGCTGAGTGAGTGACAGGCAGGAAGCTATTGAGGAAGACATGAGGTGGACCGCCTCCAGGTGCCGTGGGCACTGTTGTGATGTCAGAGTGACAGCCATCCAAGCTGGAGCTCTCTATGGTGTGTGCTGGAGATGTGGGTGGCGGCCATGTGGGGGAGAGCAAGGCTCCCTCCTGGGATTTGCCTTAGTCATCTTTTTTCGGTTATTTTCCTGTTGTTTGGAGTTCTGAAAGTAACCACATTTTCAAGTAGTGCCGGCAACAGAGCTGACTGGGGAAGAGAGACCTTTGCTGCTGGAACTCAGTCTGGGAAAGTGTCTTAATAGAAACAGACATCTCAGACACAACAGCTACTGTGGACTTAACTAAGCAAACCCAGTATCAGGAAATGGGTGCTTTCTCATCACGTAGGGTTTCTGGTGCAGTACGGAAGTTTCCCCACAAAAACTTCCAGATCAAGTACAAAAGGATGATCCTGAAGGAAAGAAAGATGGCGCTGGCTCCTATGACCCTCTGGGGGCTGCTTCCCAACACACGGGGTGGAAACGACCTTACAAACAGAAAGGAAAAAACCCAACTTTAAAATATACAGACTATAGAAAAAGACCCAATACATGTACATTTTCCTCTGTCTAAAATGCAGTCCCAAGAATGCTCCACTTGAGAGGCACAGCTGTCCACGGCAGCAAGCCTGGAGGTAGGGGTCCTGGCCTACAGATGACCTCTGTCTCCTTGAGTGGAGAAGGAAATTGAGGCTGGCCTCCAGAGAGGGGACTGGCTACTGCATTGGTCACTTCCAGGGTCTTCCTCAGAGTGACCCTGCCTCACTCCTGAAGAAGGTTCCACTTCATGATCAGCGAGAGGGAAGGGGATAAAGTGCTTCTCGTAAAAATGACCAAAATAAATACAAACGTTTAATGGCAGAAAAAGAAAGTCTTCAAAGGGTTATTTCCAAAACATCTGATTGCTCAGATCTGTTCCTCGGATGTCTGGAAAGACAGAATTCCCCACACCAGTTGGAAGTCTCACGATGGAGCGGAGTCAGCAGCAGAGATGGACTTCCTCCCCCAGCCACACGTCCTCTCTCTGGTCTGTAAATCCGTGTGCAAACTTTCCCCAGCCCTTCGAGCCTCAGGGGGGACTGGCGGAATGGTGGTGTGGCCCAGCAAGCTACATGGACTTCATGCCATTGGCGGTGGCCCCCTCCGGCAGCCCATCCCCCACTGCAGCCACGTCGTGCAAACCCGAGTAGTCCTTGAGCTCCGCGTTGGTGAGCAGCAGCGGCTGCTCTCCCTTCTTGTGTGGCAGCAAAGGCTGCCGCGTGTAGTGCTCCCCATTGGCGATGTTCTCGGGCAGATTCTGGTCCCTGCTCTCGGGCAGCAGGAGGATGCAAATAATGCAGATGAGCGTGCAGCAAGCGAAGATGATGTGGTGCAGGAAGTAGCCTTTCTGGTTGTGCAGCTCAATAATGGGCGCTGTCAGCATACCAAAGCCTGCACTGGCCAGCACCAGCCCCAGCCCACCACACCTGCAGGGGGAGAGAGAGCACAGGCTTGAAAGAAGCATACAACGTTTGGTACAAGTAGAGTGGAGTGGGACAGCGGCTTGATGGGCTATTAGGGTAAGCACGTATGCCCCACAAACTTCCAGTACTGGAAACCTACTCCTCTGGGCAGGAGAGATGGCTCAGAGGTTAAGAGCACTGACTGCTCTTCGAGAGGATCTGGGTTCGATACCCAGCACCCACATGATAGCTCACAACTGTCTGTAGCTCTTGTTCCCAGAGGATCTGATGCCCTAATACAGACATGCCTGCAGGCAAAACACCAATGTACATAAGATAAAAATAAATAAATTAAAAAACTTAACAGAAAAAGTAAGTGGTTACAAAAAAAAAGGAGTGAAAGAAACCTAACCCTTAAATTCAAATGTTGGTGGAATTCAGATATGGGGCCTTTGGGAATAACAAATATTAAATGTAGTCAAGAGGTTGGGATAATGTTTTTTTTCTCTTGTTAAATTTATTTATTTTTATTTTATGCACCTTGGTATTTTGCCTGAATGTATGTCTGTGTGAGGGTGTCAGTTCTTGGAGTTACAGACAATTGTGAGCTGCCATGTGGGTGCTGGGAATTGAACCCAGGTCCTCTGGAAGAGCAGTCAATGTTCTTCACCACTGGACCATCTCTCCAGCCCCGTGATGATAATTTTATAAGGCCTTTATAGGAGAGGAGAAGCCTGAGCTAGCATATTTGCTGTGTCACCATGTGATGCCCTGCATTACCTTGGGATTCTGCAGAGTCTCCATTATCCAGAATCCATTACAACCCCCTACGTTGGACCTCTCAGCATCCAGAACCACAGATAAATGAACTATACTCTTTCTAAACTGTCAGTTACTACAATAGAAAATGAATTAAGGGATCAAGGAGGTTCTGTCTTTGTGCAGAGGCTGGTTGCTACCACCTAGTATCCCCTATAGTTGTGACATTCCAAGCCACTTTCATTTTGGCTCTATCTGTGGATTCCTACAACTCTGAGATCAGATAAGCCAAACCCTTAGTGGGAATTATTTACTCTCTATTTTTCTGGTAAGTGAGGCACCCTCTAGAATCCTAGAGAGATTATCATACGTGCAACGCTTTCAGACACCCTCTTTCCATGGCTCTAACTTCTCTACTTTGACCTAAAAACATTCCTGGGACTAAAGGTGCTCTGTAGGTACTAAGAAAGTGAGACTGTAGTGTCCAGGTAATAGGACAGAAAACTGCCTGGTCCCCAGGCCCCAGGCCCCAGGACAGACAGAGGTGGTCTTATCTTCAGCAGGAGGAACACCATTGCCTGCCCACCCTCAAGAACAGTGGAGAAGATGTACAGGGATGTGGACTCCAGGAGGAACCTTACAAAGGAGCTGCTCAAGACTTATGCAACACTCTAGCAAAGGGACCTTGTTCTAAAACACGAAGTGGAAATGGCTGAAGGGAACACGGCTGCTGCAGCTGGGACTCTTGAACAATTAATGGTTCCCTACTTGGTGCAGTAGGTGGCTCCCAAGTCAAAAAAGACCACCCTGCAAATTTCATCAAATGAAATTAAAATGTTTCCAAGAAAGCAAATGCAAGGCTTGCATGCTGAAAACTGCAGAGCTTTGTTGGTGGAAAAATCTAAGATGCTCAAAGTAAATGGATCAAAAGACAATAATGTAAAGATGGTAAGCATTCCTGAATCGAGCTATGGATTCTTCAGTCCCTATCAAAATCTTCGCTGAGAATAAACTTATCTGAAAATTTACACGGTAATGTAGAAGATGCAGAATAGTCAGGAAAGGATTTTGAAAAAGGAATATAGGAAGATTTACTGTCCCCATTGTGAAACTTAAAAACGGTGCCAATCAGCGTGGTGGCATCGAGAGGCAAACCCATAGAACAGTGAGGGCTCAGAAACAGGGCTTTACACCTACGGCCAGTGGATTCTGACAGAGGTGCACACTGTGGGGGCAGAGCTGCTGTGTAGCAAGCGGTGTTGGTGCAGTGGGGTCGTGTGTACTGACTCCCAGAAAATGTCAGGGAAGACTGTTGTGACCTTGGGTCATCATAGAAGCTGATTAGCTGGACTCACCCAAAATTGCTTATTTTTCCCTTCAGAAGACACATAATTCAGAAGTAGAAACCATACAGTCTGTGAGAAATGCTTGCAAAGCCTGCCTCTGACAATGAATGTCTGTCCATAATGTATAAAGGACTCAACTTGGCTTGAAAAATGAGGAAAAGTTGTCTGTTCAACAGGCATTTCAGCACACACACACACACACACACACACACACACACACACCAAATTGCAAACATCTAGAGAGAAAAGCTTGAGTTGAGGCACAGTGTCCTTGTCAACAGAGAACTGCAAACCAAAATCACATTGAGAGGCCACTTCACACCCGTGAGCAAGCCTGGAATAAAGGACCGAATAATATGCCGACCAAGAAGGACCTCGAGAGGCAAGAGTTCTCTGCTAGCCTCCTGGTAACAGGATGGAAAACAGGACATTTTCTTAAAAGGAAACACGATTTTATATAACTAGCAATTCCATGTACAAAACAAGTAAAAACATATGCCCAGACAAAAATCTACAAGCAAATGTTTCTGCCTTATAGCACTGGGAACAATCCAAGTGTCTATCAGCTGGTGAGTGATAAATAAAATGTGGCATGTCCACATATAATGGAATATTACTTAGCCATTAAAAGCATGAAGAATTGACGTTTTACACCACAAGAACCATCATGCTGATTGTATGATTCCATTTCTATGAAATGTCAGAAATGTTGATTCAGGGAGACAGAAAGCAGGACAGTGGTTGGGGCTAGGAGTGAAGGTAAGAACTGCAAAGGGGCATGAGGATGTTTTTCTTTAGAGGGTGATAGAAGTGGTCTATGATTGGAGGGTGACAAACTATTTATAAATCTTAATGAATGGATCCTATATAAAACATATGTCACTAAAGCTGCTAACTCCCAAACTTCTGCAGCTGTGGAGCCAGGCCGGCTGGTCCAGATCCCCATCATCTCATGATCTGAGTGAGGCAGCTGCCAGTCCTGCCTCTTCTCAAGAGCCCAGAGACTGTGATCCCTCTCCACGTACCCAGGGCTGATGTAGCAGATGTGACTCAGAGCTCTCACCTCCTCCTAGGACTGTACTCATGGTTCCTGTTGACTTCCTCCCCTGTGAACTCTGTGAAATCCAGGCTAAGCAAGCTGCAGAGCTGCTCCAAGCCTCCCCAAGTCCTTCCTCTCAGAAGACCATAGCCTCATGGTTCATGCCTCTGTGTTTCTGTACTTGGGAGGTGTTCAAGGACAAGATCAAATCTTGCTCAATCCGTTGTCCCTAGTATTCTCTCAGTAACTGTATAAGACCTGGCCTGCTAGCCCTTGGGCATTACTAGGTATTGTGTCAGGTTCCTAAGAAGACGATTCCCACTTCCAAGTACTTTTAACCTTTGCCTTATGTAGGGGCTGGAAGAAATAAGGAATTTCTTGCCAATAAAGTATTGCAAAAATGAGATGTCCCTTCTACATAGTACTCTGGCTATGACAAAGTAAGCTGCTGTGTTGTTGTTGGAACACACAGCAGGAAGCAAGATGGCTCCCAGTTAATGTTCTACAACTCATGAAGAACTGGATCCTGTCAATGACTGCTGAGCCTCCTATCACGGGGGACTGTAGCTCATGGGACTTAGGACCAGGATCCAGCTAAGCACTGCTCAAACCACTAACGTACAGATACTACTGCAAGCCAAAGCATTTGGGTCATTTGTGATGCAGAAATGGAGAAGTACTGTAGCTGAAATGCCCAGCCTTAGCTATGGAACCTCTCACCTAGGCTGTTCTATTCTCAGTACTTTGTATTCTTCACCAAGGGAGCACTGAGAGAGCCACAGAGAAAGTCACACTGCTGGCCTGGCAAGTGGTGCACTGAGGAGAGATGCTTTTTTTTGGTGCCGTCCAGACACCAGCCCTTTCCCAAGAGGGTCCTAGACCACCTTTAAAAGACACTGGCATCTTTCTGTCAACATTTGCTCATGAGCTTATTACCCTGGAGCCTCCATGAACCCTTCAAGAGCAAGGATTATTTCCAGGACCATCAGCTGTCTCACAGTTGGCATGTGAAAAATACCAGATGCCCATGGAGCATGCTTCCTAGAAAGCAATGAGACTGAGCCCATCCGTCAGGTGAGTAATATGAATACCTAAATAGCCATTCAAATTTCTGGTAAATCTGGCCTATTTGGGAAACCACAGGATGTGAGGGGTGTCTCAGATGTCAGGGTCCTGTTTGATTGGGACCTTTGACATCAATACAGCTGTTTTTCTGTTTTTTCTTTCTCAGCTGGCACCAAGGGTGGCTGGTGCCCTTGCTCATATGTAGTTGTCATGCTGGAAAGCAGAATACAGTCCTCCATGTAGGGTGTGTGTTTAGCTGCCCAACCCCAGGAAAGTCTCACATGACACCAAGTGAATGATATCAAAGTAATGTATTAATACATCATGTTGAGTGAAATATATGAGATTTACAGCTAATTTAAATGTAGATGCATGTATATGATATTCAGTATGTTCTTGTACATGGGTAATACAGAATCTACTGTAATTCATGACATTCCAGCCAGGGGGAAACTGCAGACAGGGTAGTGGTCTCGTAGGATTATAGGGAAAGGGAACATTCATATCCCCGTGGATATCCTAGCTGCTGCTACAGCAGCTAGCATGGTACGGTCCACTCCTATATTACTGTAGCATTGCTGGTGTAGGCAGGCCTACTGCCCTGCCAGTCATTTTAAAGGACAGCTCATAGAATGATATGCAATACCTAATGCTCTAGGAGGCTAAATGATTCTGTTGTGGGATGTGTTACATGCCATTATAAAGCATTTCTACTTAGAATAAGGTGTGCACCATGTGGTAGCATGCTCTGTAATCTCAGCACTCTGGAGGCTGAGGCGTGAGGACAGTGAGTTCAAGGCCAGCCTGGGCTACACAGCGAGAGCTTATGTACTATACCACCAGAACCTCCAGGTTCATAGTAAACAACACTGAGCATCTAGGTGTGCATAAGTTACTCGACGATGTATGCATGGTGACAGCATCAGATAGTGACTTATTTCTCTCCACATATCCTGTTGTTAAACAATGTTTGAGACAGTTGTATGTCTTCATTTTTTCTATGAAAATACTTTACTGTTTTGCCATAAGTGATTCCTTGAATTTAATAATATTACAGATAATTTTGTAGGAAAACGGTACGCCATTTTTGTTTGTCTTTAAGTCCTAGAGGATCCCTAGAGGATCTCATTTCCCTCCAAAAGGCGGAGTCATAGGCACGTGCTGTTGCTCTGGGTGTTCACTAGAGGGCAGCCTAGGCCCATGTTTACACACCAGTGAGGCGTCTACAGAGACAAAAGAGACCCTTGTTTCTTAGACACATTAACAGTTTTTACTGCCCACCGAACAGCATTCCTTTGGGTAATGCCCTCTAAACAACCACGGCCTCCAGGCAGACTTACCAGAAGGAGCAAAGTGTGAATCAGAAATAAACGTGAACCACCAACTTTCATATAAACATGAACACACCTCCCCCATGTTTTATTTCCTCTTTTACATTTTATTTTAGCTTTTCTTGACTGCATTTCTGTGAAGTTAAGGATGCACAAATATTGTAATTGTTTCCTCAGGAATGAAGAACTGCCAGAACTATCCAGGTATGAACAGTAATATGAACTGCCATTCGCTAAGTTACATACGCAACTCTCAGTGGATATCTGTGGGGGGTTGTTTCTAAGACCCCCAGGTCTTTGGATGCTTGAGTCCTTTATAGAAAATGCTATAGTAGTATGTGGAACCTACACACTTTCTGCATTCATTTACCATTATTCATAATACTGAACACAATGCAAATACAATGTAAATAGGTGCTTAGGAGGTAATGGCAAGGACTGTACATGCCCAGTAAATCATAGTTTATTGGGTATGGGTGTTAGGGACGGAATCCAGGACTGTGTACATGCTTAGCACATACTGTACCATTGAGCTACAGGCAGGTGCATCATTTCTTTAAACAAATGCTGTCCGTTGTGGTTGGCCCTACCTTTGTCATAGGGATGGATGGCAAATCTTGCCTTGTCTTGAGGCAACATCAGGGCAGAAGATAGACATGGGGACCTTGCTCAGAGGGAAAGTTCTCAAGGCCAGTCTGATGCAAATGATCTGGACCAGAGTAAAGGGACAGGACCGCGTGAGCAGCAGGCAAGCAGTAGTTAGTGGAGAGAAAAGCAGGGATAGTGCATGGGTCAAGGACAGAAAGTCCATGACTAGGACTCCATGGAAATTATGCAGACTGTGAAGCCAGCTTCCAGCTTGGCAGGATCACCAGCACCCACCTGTTCTCTTCCCTTGTCCCATTGTTGTGGGGAAAGGAAGCCACTGTAGATTACAGGAGCTCCTATCTTCAGCTTCCAGGGAACAGTGGGAAGAGAAGGTGACCCACCACAATAAAAGTCACTGGCTATTTCTAGATCAGTCTAGTGTTCCCGAGCTACTTCGGCCCAAGACAGGGAGAGAGACTGGGGAGGAAGGATGGAAACCTGTCTGTCCTAGCCCATCTTCAACTCACCTAATGCCCAAAGCCTAGGAAAACAATCTCAGAAGCCGCTGCCTGGCTAGTGGTAACCACAGTGGACTGAGGTTAAGTGGAGTGGCTCCCTGTTCAGTCCAAACAAGATTCGGTGAGACAAGGTTCAAGGTTTACTCTACTCTCTACCATCTACAGGGCAATAGAGTATCATGAATCTGTACAGAAAACATGTCCTTGGACATGTCCAGTCTCTTGTTCTTGGCATCTTAATTTTTGCATTTGTGCTGGCTAATTTTATGTCAATTTGATATAATCTGAGAGAAGGGAATCCCAATTGGGTAAATACCCTCATAAGATCAGGCTATAGAGAAGCCTGTAGGACATTTTCTCTATTTGTGACTGACGGAGGAGGGCCCATTGTGGGTGGTACCCATTCCTGGGCTGGTGGTCCTGGATTATATAACAAAGCAGGATGAGCAAGCTATGGGGAGCAAGCCAATAAGCAGCATTCCTCCATGCCTCCGCGTCAGTGACCACTTCCAGGTTCCTGCCCTGTTTGAGCTCTTGTCCTGACTCCCTCTCCTGATGCACAGCGATATGGAATTATAAGCAAGATAAATTCTTTCCTCCCCCACTTGCTTTGGGTCATAGTGCTTCATCACAGCAGGAGTAGCCCTATCTAAGAAACTGCTGTTCTTACTTCAGAAGGTTTCTGTTCAACACAGCATTACAGAAAACGGCAAGACTGTCATAAGAAAGAAAGAGCCCATGGAGCCCACCCTCAATGGTCTCGGGTTTTTCTGTGTGGAGGGGGTGGTCTGGAATTTGCATGTTTCCCCTGTGGCTCTTATAGGAATTTTTCATGAGTGTCTTTGCATGAAAAAGCTGCACAAACCACAGCTGGGAAGAGTTCCCACAGAGACTCTTCCAGCCGGGCTAGGAACTGGCCTCGCTTTTCTTTCGCTCTCTGCAGGTACCAAACATCACCCAGGGCCAAATGTTTTTCTGGCTTGTCATCTTGGCAAGCTGAACTCTAGAATGTATTTGTTCAACTTCTGTCCCCAAATCATTTTTTCCAGATTTCCATCAAAGAGGAAAAGGGTACATTTCTTTCACTTTAGCTTGCTGAGCACACTGCCAATGAGGCCAGAGATAAGGGGGTGTGCCCTCCCCAGAGAAACACAGAGAGTCATGCAATGACTGCCAGTGGCTACCAGAAACCAGGACCAGTGGAGACTTGTACTCTAGCTGGGAGATTATCTTCCTGGATTATTTTAGAAAGGAGGGAATTTAACTAGGTGGAGAAAGGGTAAGATGCTATGTGTCTTCAGTGTTTCACAACTACAAGAGCAAAACAAGCTTCTGGTCCATCTGGCATTGGCTCATGCAGAAGGCAGGGAACTATAAGGCTTACTAGACACCTAATTGCTTTTTCTTAAATATACAATGACTAGGTATTTTATTACAGGAATCAATGGCCAGCAGTCTTGGCTTGGATTGTGAAAATTCAAGAGAATGAGTCAAAATGAGGTCATGAGAAAATTCTGCTGTCAGCAAGGAGGGAAGTCCACAGTCCTGTCTACCTGCACCAGAGGGCCTAAAATAATTAGTCTCCCTGAGTCCCATCTGAACTGGAACGCCTGCTCGTTCTTCTGAAGGGAGTCATCGTGCTGACTTCTGGGTTTCAGTTCACAGCTGACTAACTGCCCACTCACAAATTCAAAAAAGCGTGTGCATTAGGAATGCTAAAGCTGTTCCAGTGAGGAGCGCCGTATGATAGGAGGAACAAACGGCGAGTGGAGGCGGGGGTCTCTTACTCAAAGTGCTTTTGGATTTTGTACCTTTGACTTTGGAGTATTTGCATACACATCATGAGGTATTGTGGAGAGGGGATCCCAGTCTAAACACAGACTTGCTTAAGTCTCATATATGCCTTGTGGAGCCTGAAGATCTTTTTATACAATATTTCAATTTTGTCCATGACACAGAATTTTTATGACAAATTTTGTTTGTCCCATTAACATTTTTTCCCTGCTGCCATGTCAACAGAAACGAACCACGTTGGTTTTAGATGTCAGGTTTTGAGGTTCAGTAATGTTCAACCTGTGTTAGGAAGAGGGTGTCTGGTAGATTTTGAGGTTCTGTAATGTTCAGCCTGTGTTAGGAAGAGGGTGTCTGGTAGATTTTGAGGTTCTGTAACGTTCAGCCTGTGTTAGGAAGAGGGTGTCTGGTAGAGGGAATGCGGCTAAGAGATGCTCTCTCAAAGTCCTAATTTTCACTATACTACAATCCCAGTGCGATCAAATGTTGTATGTACTTCATGCACCACCACACAGGAATAGAAACTTCATTTTAGAGACAAACACTTAGGACTGCTTAGGAAAGTATTAGGGAAAGACACACTTCTCCCAGTCTAGGACTCTGCCGCCTTACTTACCTAGCCTATTGCCTGCCAAGTACTCAGCTCTTAATTTCTTTTTTCTTAACTAAGTCAGTGATATAATTTTGGATTAGTGATCAGGTTCTCAGGCCAGGAAGAAAAATAAAAAGTCCTATCTAACTGCTTTCTAATTTGTTTGTACATATGGCCTAGGCTGACCTTGGACTTCTCTGATCCTTTGCCCCCCCCAACCCAATGCTGGGATTACAGGCAAGCACCACCACATCCATTTATGGGGTGCTAGGGATTGAACCCAGGGCTTTGCTCATGCTAGGCAAACAAATCAACTACATCCCCAGCCCTCGACTTTTTGCTGAGATGGGGTCTTGTTGTGTAGACCATGCTGGCCTCTACCCTCCTGCTTCAGCCTCCCGGGAGTCTAGGATTACAGGTGAAATGTATGCCTGTCTTCCTTTCGGGCTGAAATAGCTTGGTCCTGACTCCCCAGTGGACAGTGCTGAGTTTTATCGAGATCAGCAAGAGTGATTTACTTATCCCTCTCCTTTCTGTTTCTTGTCCTGTGTCCTGTACATTAAACAGTTCCTTGTCTCCATGCCCCTGGTAAACGTCTTGATGGGATCTAGGGTTAAGTTCCCACTTGACCCTGAGAGCCAGGGTGAAGCTGATCATGAGACGGTGAGTCAGGCAGCCAACATGCCCTGCCTGCCACCACACCCTGGTCTGGAAGCCGCGGTGGGGCAGAACTGATGACAGTTCCTGACACACAGACAAGGACCAACCTTGAGTCCTGAGAAGAAAGTCACTCACCTTATCACTGTGGGGGTGATCTCTGCACAGAAGAACACACTGAGGCTCCCCACTGCATGGGATGCGAACATGCCCACGATAGAAAATGCGATGGAGAATTTATCTTTGACGCTGTCACTCATCCCTGAATGAGAATCCAAAGAAGAGGACCGTGAGGGAGGAGAGAAGGGAAGAGAACAGAAGCCAGGCAAGGGGTGAACTGGAGCGAGGAAGGGAAGCCTGGGATATCCCAGGAGCTCCCTCTTCCCCAGTGCCCAGTTTGTGGTACAGCCGGGCATGCAGTGGCCTCTGGGTGGGCAGTCCTCTAGGCTCAGGAACCTAGAGCCCTTTAAACATTCTCCTGTCTTCTGTAGGTACCTTGGGGCCCAAGCATGCTGAGCTCACAGTGGCCTGCAGAATTCCTCATCTAGAAGCTGTGCCAGGCAGAAGGCAGGCAGGAAGGCCCCTGCTGCCACAGTGACATTCTATTTGCCCCAGACTCCAGACTGCAACCCTCAGGGTTGACCCACCCAATCCAGAGACAATGTTGACTTAAGGGTACAAAGCCACACATGACCCAAATGGACTAATTCATGGTCCTGGAGAGAGAGAAAGCGTTCAGCAATCTCGGTACCTGGAGGTGGCACTGGGTCCTGGCTGGCACGAGGCAGCACTACACACAGTGTTTTGGCATGCATGGGGGCTGTGCTTCTAAGCTCAGCTCCGTTTCCCTCAGTGTTGCACGGAGGGCAAGTGCTCCCATGGGCACTGGTGGCATAGGCTTGGTTGGGCCAGGCAGGTGTGATTGCAGCATGGGGAATGGGCAGCACCTCTGCTGTGCCCCAGTTGGAAAGCAGCGAGCATTCATGAGTCATAAGGAAATAACCATTCTCCCTACAGCATAGACAACCAAGCCCCAACCCTCCTGCCTTCTCATCCTGGCTAGCTGCTGGCCAAGGAAAACAGCACTGGTGCTGGATCAGGGGACTGCAAGGGCATGCATGCCAAGCTGCACAAAACCAGGGAAACACGAGTTGCTTTCTCTAGTGCAAGATGGGGACAGAGAATACAAATGTATGCTTATAGTGTCCAACCTACGGCCAACTTCAGCTGCAATTCTTGAAGGGCAAAGAGTAGGAAGAAAGAGAGGAAACGAAAACCAGTTGGTGAGTGTTTGTGGCCACTGTTGTGTGGACATAATAAAAGACAAGGCGGCACAAGTGTTTAGGACTCACCTGAGTCTGGATGCTGGCTGTATTTGCCGATCACTGGAACCATGGAATGGGTGCGCCCACATGCACAGGGTAAAGAGAGTGGGGAGAGATGGAGAAGGCTTGTTAGGTATGGGACAGCTGCCGAGTCTTCCCACGTGACTTGTTTCTAAGGGAACTTCCTTTTAAGTCTGAGTTGGTGCTGGCTGCCTGGGCAGTGGAGTTCACACTGGACTAAACAAAGACCTTTTTGTGCGAAGAGAGGGCTGTGGCCAGTAGAGTCTGGGAGACAATGCAGTCTGAGAGAGAGAGGACCTGAGCAGATCTAAAGGAGCATCTCTGCAGAGAAAGTTATTCAAATGGTACTCTTGGTTTGTGCCAAGGGGCACTGGGCACTGGGAGCAGGCCTGTCAGGCTGCATCTCTGCTTCCCCAAACTCTATTCCTCACAGCTACTTGTTCTTTGCCCAGAGTCTTTGTGGAATTCTTGTTCACTGCCAAGGAGGGCACATGGGATACTCCATAGGCTATCCTGCCACATCTGCCCTAAGTGGGTAAGTTGGATAGAAACTTTCTAGAAGGGCAGCTAGGTAGTGTCCACCCAGGGAGACGGGGAGAATGGTCACCTCTTGTTCATTTTGGTTACTGCCCAGTAAGGTACAGAACACATAAAAACATGCCTAAGTTAGGGAAACCTCCTGTATTTGAAGCTGACTCTTCTATAACCTGGATTCCAGTAAGGCTATTGTGATCAGTTGTAAAGGGACAGTGGGTAAGTCTCACTCGGCAGCTGGGATTAGCTTTCCTCCAAAGATGGGTGTTCAATGGGACACATTTCCCAGCAGTGTCCTGAGCCTGTTCCAGGGGAAGAGTCTGGGATGAGAAGACACCAGTGCTCCACACTGTGCTCCGGGCGGGTAGAGAGGAGACAGGGGGATTTTCTTGCACACAGGTGGGTGGCTGTTTATGAGGCCTATACAGGGCTTGTCGGAGGATTAAACGGACTCCCTAGATTTGTGTTAAGGTGACTTGTAAACATTACAGAAGAGTACTTCGATAATGATAACCTTGGGAACATTGGTAGAAAAGCTGTGTCCCACTCAAGAATGTCCAGAGTTTTTCTCCTCCTGTTACAGAGGGAAACATGTTTCCATCCTTCTTATGTGAGAAGTTCACGAGCAGTCTGCCCATGGTGAAGTCCTGATTACTGGGACATGGAGGCTTGGCATGCTGGGGCGTTACAGATGAGCAGAAGGACTCTGATTTGGGGGCCACAGGCCTAGGGGTTGGAGGAGAAGGGACGACTCAACAGTCCTCAGAGGAAGGGGCCAAGATGTTCTACTTGAACTTCATCCTTATTGAAGCAAGTTCTTGCGGCTGTTGATTTTATGATTGTTCAGGTCATGAAAAACTTTCCTTAAGTCCCATCCCACCCCTCCACTATAGTCTGGATCTTTAAAGTCTCCCAAAGGCTAAAGACTTAGTTTCCACCCAGGGCAGTACCGGGAGCAGACCTTTATGAATGAGAGTCTCATGAAAGAAACTCATGCACTTGGGGGTACGCTCTTAAAGAAGACATTAGGACCACAGATCCCTTTCTTTTGCTGTTTCTATGTCAGGAAGTGAGTAGATTTCCTTCACATATGCTCCTGCCATGAAGTGTTGTCTTACCACAGGCCCAGATGGGTCAACAAACCATGGACTACTTGAAAACTCCAAATCTATGAGCCAAACAAACCTCTCCTTTCTAAGTTCATTATCTTAGGTGTTTTTGTCATAGAAACAGAAAGCTGCCCTGCCTCCTAAGCTCTCCTGCCTTTGTCAGCTCCCTGTCCCCAGCATCCCGCCCTTGTCTCCCTTTTCCAGCCCACTCACAGTTGAGGAGGCCAAGCTGCAGAAGTGAGGCCAGGGCGGTGAGGATCATAAAGAGTAGCAGGCCTCCCCTGCGCCCGAGGAACCTGACGACCACACACATGGCCAGGCAGGAGGCCAGCGCGATGCTGGCCATGGTGTAGTAGTCAGCGTAGAAGTTCTCCAGGAGGGGCACCTTCACCTCATGGCCCATCATGCTTCTTGCAAAGCAGTGGTGAATCCCGTACCCTGTTAGCCTGCGGGAGACACACACACTGAGAGGGTGGGTGGTAACTGTGATGAGGGGCTGCCCAGACTCCCGGGGATGCCCAAGAGACAGAGTACTTTACATGTGATGGGAAACCATGCTCTCACCACTTAGGAACCCATGAGGGAGTTAAATTCGAAGAGACATCAAAGAAACATCCGTGAGGTCCTTTGCTTACCCAGGGGTAGGATGAAGTGCCTTCTGTGTGCCCACTAATTACTCTCAGGCCAGCACAAGAACGTGGTCACAGCCACTTGGCAGACCAACAGACAGATTATTGGTTGGTGATCCGGGTCTGACCTCTGTGTGGCCTGGCTGGACAGCGCTATAAGACCTGACTGTGAATAGACCTTTGCTATCAGAGTGACTCTCATGAAATGTAGAGAGGAAGGGCATTGTTCTGAGGACATCGGTGTGTGCAGGACCTCGCCAGGCCTCCTCCCATCTTTATGTTCAAAGTCCTAGGAGCTCTAACTCCATGCAGGGTGCTGGTATGAAGCAGGTGGCTGGGCTGAGGGCGATGCTCAGTGCTGGTTGCCTAGGGCTTCTTGGTGAAGTGATAGGTATCTTTCTTCAAACCTACAGATGGGCAGCCTGGGCCTATTTCTGGGGCCTCTTTCATAGAGACAGGTTGAGACAGGTGGGCGTGGGGCAGGCTGGGATTCAGAGTTCATGTAGGAGTGGGAGGAGGGTCCCTCTGTATCTTAGTACACATGTTTCCCACGACTTACGAGTTCACACAGAGAACCACGATATTTTTCCACAGGTTCCGCGTCCCCACCACCTTCACGATGCACACTTTCTTGGGCCTCCGTGAAAGTTCTTTCTCTAGCTCTGCAAGAGACAGACCCAGGAGCTTGAGCAGGACAGAAGGTTTCAGACACGGCTACAACACAGCTTTGGTTTACCCATCCAGGACCATTTGAAAAGGAGGTCTTTTGCCTTTAAGCCAGGGAAGAGGGTCTAGGCTTTCTGGCTAGACATGAGTTCGGGAGATTCATAGACAGGTTTCCCATCACAACTAAAAGGGCACGCTGTCAGTGAACATTTCCACCCAAGTTATGCTGACAGAACCGGGGCAGCACACACAGACACACATGGCCCACTCATCTCGCCTGAACACATCACCCCATGATGGGAGTCTAGGCTACTGAGGCTTAAGTTAGGTCCTGCACATACGGCTGGTAATTTCTTTCTGCCAGAAACTGTAACCACCTATGCCACCTACAGCTCAGAGGCCTGCAAAGCTACAAGCCCATATGCACCTTACTCTTTGGGGGGAGAGAATGTCTTAAGACTGAAGCCATACACAACCTCACCTTAACCTGTGCTGAACTCGCTCTGTGCTGACTGTGAATCTGTTCCAAGACCCAGGAGGGAGGCATCCGCCCACTTGGGGCCTCTCCTGCCCAGTCTGCCCACGTGTGGAGCCCTGCTCTCTGGGAACTCACCTCCCGGCTCAGGGAGGGCCCAGTGAGGGCTAGGGCTGTAGGAGGCCCCAGTCTCAGACCTTCCCAGAGGCTGGGGAGTGAGGAGCACTCAGCAAGTGGCCCTGCTGAGAGAGGTTAGGCTTAGAGATGCGACAGAGTTTGGAGCTATGGCACAGAGGCTCTCCTGAGGCTTATCCTAGCTCTGACTGTCTAACAGTGCCCCAGTGTCCCCCCAACCTAGCCAGAAATTTGCTCAAGTCCTGGGGCTTGTCTGTCAATCTAATAGGGGAAGGGCAGAAGATAGGAAATGCTTCACGGGGTAGGAGCTGAGTGGTTATTACTTGAGAGCCTTCTGGGCCCTTCTGCTTTCTAGCAGGAATGTCCTGGGGAGTCATCCCCTGCTTAGAAAACAGCAGGGACGCTTCCCAGGTCCACAAGGAGCCAGTGGCATACAAACTGTCAAAGTCATGAAAACAAGGAAAGATTGAGGAATCCGAAAGACCAAAGAAGACAGTGGCCAGGTGATGGCAAACTGCACCTGGGACAGGACCCTGGAGCACGCAGGGCCAGTGATGGGAAGCCAGCACCGAGGAGAGACTGGCACTTGACTAACAACCGTATAGACTTATGTCCAGTTTCCTAGTTCTGACAAATGTGCTATGGAAACATCAGACCTAAGCAACAAAGGAAACTGAGTCTGGAGTAGAGACGAGTTCTACACTGTCTCAACTTACCTATATATGTGAAATTGTTCCAAAACAAAGACACTTCCATTTTAAAACTGTCTGTGGAAATAGGGACAGAGAAAGCCTTCAAGGCCTGGAGGCATAGATTACCCTCTCTGTGTGTCTGGTTTCTGAAGCCTTGGGTTTACAATGATCATCAATATTATTTGAAAAATTGTGTCTAGAATGAACACGTACTCTTCTTTTCTTGTTACTAGTCCTGAAACAATTCAGTATAACAACTGTTCCCACAGCACTGGTTATCACAGCTCAGAGATCATCTAGAGTATACAGGAGGTTGCATGTGGGCTCTATGCAAACACGACACCATTACATTCAAGGAAGTTGAGCTCCTGTAAGTTTTGGCATCCTAGAGGCTCTGAAATAGTCCCTAGATGCGGAGCAATGACAGCTGTTACTTCCTGCTCCCCTGAAGGATGCACACCTCTAGGTCTGCCACACCCATCTCTTCTGTTTTATTTTTCACAAGAGTCTGAAGGAAAACTAAACTGATTTTAAATAGGGAGCTAGTAGTCCAGTGAGCTCTATGGTGGCATGTACCATATCCTATGAGTCTGAGGTCAGCCTAGTCTACACAGAGACTTCCAGGTCAGCCAGGTTTATATGGTGGGGCAAAAGAGGCATGCATGCAGGGGTGGGACATTTAGACATTTTTTTATTTAATCAGTTTTGTTTGTTGTTAAGGATGGGGTACTACTGTGTTACTCAGAGTTGCTCAGACTGGTCACAAACTCATAGGTCAAGTGGTCCTCCAGCTTCAGGATTCATAAATTCTTGGGATTATGAGCTTAAGCAATCATACCTAGCTCTAAAGAAAAAACTTAGACTCATTGTCACCCCACCTTCTCATGTTTAGGTATGGGATGAGACCTTGGCACAGGCCAACACGGCTGGTATTCTGGCTGCCTATCTACAGACCCTCTCAGCTTCAGAAATCTCCTGACCTATTTTGTCTCAGCCAAAACAGGCTAATTTGACTTACTGAGGCCCCTTCTCCATGGTTAAAGGAAAATACACTCATGAATCCCTTAATGAGTGTGTTAGGGGATACGATCTGAGAATTGTGTCATCTTTTAAACTCTGTCACTGTTTAAATATCGCATAGGGCTCATAGAACTCTAGATGAAATTTGGTGGTTTTGGGTAGAGTCGGACACGTGATAAACAGGAGATGGACGAGGCTAATGCCAGCCTTATACAGTATACTGCTTCAGAAAAAACACTTTAAAAAAGTATAGTTTAGTGAAGACACAGCCACCAGTTGTTTTGTTGTTATGCAGTGTCTGCCACTGTGTGTGGCATTCTTCTAGAGAGCTGGCAGTGCAGCCGTGCACATAAGATAACCACCACAGGCATGAGGAAATGCATCTCACTCTACCACAGCAACGATGCTTAGAAAATGGTCCCTTCTGTGAAAAGTTCTCGAGGCTGTAGCTGCGTGTGGAGGCCTTTGGTGATAGACACTTGGCTGCACAGCGCAGGGCTGTGTTTATTAATGAGCTTGGAAACACGTCTGGTAGACATCCTCAGATCCAGCGATCTGGGTGCTTTCACCACTACAGACTCGTCAGAAGTCAGCTGTCACAGGCACCCTTTCTCAGCAGTCTTCCAAGAGGAAAACTCAAACATCCGTTAGCACGTTTGTTTATGCGAGTTTAAAGTTGTTTCTTCCTCAAAAGTGGTCCATACACAGCTGCTAATGCCTTATTGTGGATGAAATAGTATGCCAAAGAAGCTATAGCAATTGTATTATGACCCGAGGGTTTTGTTCTGTTTTGTTTAAATAGCATTAAACCCTAGAGCCCAGTCTAAGAATTGACTGTAGTCTACAGTGGCAATTGCATTATTCTAGAGGGAATTAAATTAACTTCTCCAGCACTATTGATGTTTTGTCAGGGTCTCTGTTGCTCATACCACTGGCCCATCATCAACAACATCAGACTTCTGCAGCTTCAAGTGTTTTCTTCTGGGGTGAAACCCATAATTATTATTATTTTTTAAATTGACTTTTATTGAGCTCTACATTTTTCATACGCATGTATTCTAAATTGGAGGAGGTCTACTGTGACCCTGTTAGGTCACTGGAAACAAGGAGCTTCTTGTCTCTCTAGCCCAAGTTTCTTTCATTAGGCAACAAACGCAAACAGGTGCTGAGCAGTTGATAAGACAGCGGCTCTGGGTTGCCGCTCAGGGCAGGAGCTCAGAGCAGAGAGTCTCAGCCTTCTTGGCTCAGTGCTGTCAGAGGATTTCAAACTGAGACACAGGCCGACTTAATGTTGGAATGCCAGCTGTGTCTACTCCTGCTCCACATTTCCTTGACCCCTGTGGTCAGTGCACGAGGTCTGGAAGCAGCGAGGGTCCCCCAGCCTAGGAAGAAGCTCATCTCTGTGTTTCTTCTTAACCCTCCTTGGAAGAGCTGCCCACAGTAATGGCAGTCTCAGCTCCCTAAGGCTAACTCCAGTCTGAAAATGTCAAATGGGGAATTCCAGAAATGAGAAACTCATAAATGATATTGTCATAATTGTTCTAGTTTTGTTATTATTTGTTAATCTCTTCCTGTACCTAATTTGTCAATTAAATGTTACTGTAGATATGCAGTTATAGGGAAAACCAAGCCTGTCTAAAGTTATCCATGGTTTTAGGCACTAATGGAGGGCAGTCCTGGCTCATGCTATGCCCTGAGGCTATGACAGGGCTGATGTGCAGGCTCTGAGCTCTGGATGCAGGAGGCAGTGAAGTGGTTCTGGTCCCTCTCTACCTTCCCAAGAGCGGCAGATAAGGAAGACAGAGGAAGCAAATCCTGGGCAGCCTCCCCGGGAGTGAGAGCTTGGATACCTTTGGATTGCTGTCCCATGAGGCTGCCCACAGACGGAAATGTACAAGAGGTCAAATGACTCTTGCTCCCTGTATATCTCTCTCCCGATGGGGAAGAAAAGGCCATACATATGCTCTCCCTCCACTGTGTGATCCTTCATGGAGCAACTTCCCAGGGTGTACACCGGGAATGGGATCTCAACTGGCTCTCCAACACTCAGCCTCTCTAGTTCCCACTGTCCACCTGTAAAATACAGAGAGTTGAAGCATCCTTCCTTATGAGGCCCTGAAAAGGATGAAATGTTCTCAGATCTCCTTGGGCCTCCCTGTCTCTGCCTGGGTTTCCTTGCTGGCCTCACCATGACTGAAAGCAAGTAACTATGTAGGACTCTTATACACAGTTACACGGTTGGTCAGCTTTCCCTTTTAATTTTATTATTATTATTTTTTTTGTTTTGTGGGCTACAGGCAACATAGAAACAGCAGTCTTTACTTTTGCTGTAATTGGTCAAAATCTTGAGTCAGGCTGGGAAGGAGAGCTATCACACTTGGGCATATCCTGATACTGTGGGATTGACTTTTGGGAGCACACACAAATGTCTAACTCAGCTGTACATGTCGCCAAGACCACGACTTATGCCCAAATAAAAACTCAAGACAGCTTTAAAAGAATAGAAATGGGAAATCTGAGGAGATCAGGTTTACTTTTAGCATAAGCCCGAGACTGGCATGCACTAACAGGGCATGAGGTTCCCCCTCATTATTTCTTCCCAGCTGAAGATACTCTTCTGCACAGACGCACCCTGAGGATCAGTCCTGCCTCTTCTTGGCTCCAGAGCCCTGGATTCCTATATATCATGAATAGTCAAGGAATGCTGCTATCCATGGATCTCCTTTGGTGTTGGGGTACAGCCTGGGCTCTGCGGCGGACACTCTGTGGGGTGGAGGTAATGTTGGCAAACTCCTGTTTATAACTGAGACAGGGGTGGAGGTTGTGTATAATATGATGGCTGACCTGGGCTTAAGAACCTAGCCTTGGGGCTGGAGAGATGGCTCAGAGGTTAAGGACGCTGACTGTTCTTCCAGAGGTCCTGAGTTCAATTCCCAGCAACCACATGGTGGCTCACAACCATCTACAATGAGATCTGGTACCCTCTTCTGGCCTGTAGGCATACATGGAGGCAGCACACTGTATTGTATACATAATAAATAAAGAACCTAGCCTTGAGGACGGGAGGATGGGTCTGCGAGGATGGGGCTTTCCTGAGCTGAGGCCTATGGGAAAAAGAGCATGGGAGCTGGACACAGAGCAGAGGCCAGGGGGAGGTAGAGATTAGGTAGGGTCTCTAAGTCTACATGTAAGATATGGGGCTACCCCCTGAGGACCCTGGGGGCCACTAGAGTAGTGATGATGTGATTATATTGTTTCCAAGCTGCTGATGGAGGAAGGGGGAACAGAGTGGCAGCCAGAGCAGTGAGTACACATGAAAACCAGTTAGGGAAGAGCCCCAAGCTCTACGGGGGGTGGGGGGGAGAACAACTACGTGAGATACTGGGAAGATGATTATAAATGGAGAAGCCATTCTGAGCTAAGGAAGTTAGTAGCCTAGAGAATACAGACTCTTCCCCCAAGTGCTATTGTCTGAATGCATCTGATGGGGGTGGGTATAGAGAACCAGGGTGAATTTGCATCCCACAGTGACCACAATAATGATGACACATCCTTGTGAAGAGCGAAAGTTTTCTCCTCTTTGTTAGTCACCAAAGGGGACAAATCACCTCTTACTTGGCCCCCTGCCTGAGACACTGAAGAGAGATAAGCTCCAACTAAATGCATAAGCAAAGGATAGGGGTAGAGGAGAGCTAATATCACTTTCCAAAAATAGAGACATGAGTCAGTATAATTAGGATAGAGAAAACAAGCTTTTTTCCAGATAACATTTTAACCTGAAAGAAGTGGGGTGTGATGATTTAATTAGGAGGCCAGAGACAGATGTGCAGTGAGACTTGAGGACAGGAGCTTGCAGGAGCCATGAGATGGTCCAAACCAAGCAGGCCTGGCCCAATGGGTTCCTTAATTGCACCCTTTCCTGTGTGTCTCCATGGTCACCCTCTTCTCAGCAGCACAGGAGAGCCACTTTGGCTGGACTTTTGGGGTTCAAATCCCACTCAACTATTTAATAGCCAACCGACCTCTGGCAAGATAACCCAGCCTCTCAGTGCCAGGGCTTCCTCATCTGTAAATAAGGAGCATCGCAGTATCCCTTGTAAATGTGTTGCCGTGGAGAAACAGGTTCATGGGCATATCACATGGAGGATGGAACCTTAAGAATCAGTTGATCGCAATGTTAATCAGTCCCTTGGAAGGGGACTGGTACATAGGCCTCATGTCTTCTTTACTGTCACTGCTCCTGAGAAAGGGGGCCTCAGATGCCCCTCTAAAGAGCCAGCATTCAGTACTCGTCAAGTAGACCAGCCATGGCTTGCATCCTTCACTCCAGGGAATTCAGAGCTTTTGGTTTGCCTGACTGCTCCTGCCTGAGCTGAAGGACTTGGCAGACCACATCTCACCCAGTAAGTGGTTGTGACCCAGCCTTTGTATCCAGGAAATGGGGACCTGCAGGGCACATTCTCTTGTCTGGCACAGGTTCCTGCTCACCTGTGTCTCAAAGCCAGGCTTACCTAGGCACTTGGACTGCAGCCACTTGTCACCACTCTCTATCCCACTTTAGTGCTTGAACCCCCCTACTGAGTGTACATGTAAGACCCTCTATGTATGTATCCCATCTGTGTGAGCTACTGTTGTGTGCCATCAGATGCTTAATAAATGTCTGCGTTCTGAATGAATGGTCATCACATGACTCTAGTCATTGGGAAAGTCTAGTCTTATTCCCCCCCCCCACTATATATATATAGTACTTTCCTAGGGGATTTCACAAAGCATACAGGTTTTCATGTAAACCTGGTGGTTCAAAACTGCCATTTTCCAAAGGAACTCTTTAAGTCCCTTGCATCAGAGTGTCTTCTAGAGCTCACTACAAGTGCACATTCCTGGAGCTTCTTTCAGATCTTCTAAGTCAGTATCTTGGTATGACAGGGAGGAGCCAGGAACCTGGCTGTGAAGAACTTCCTGGTAACATTTACAGACTCCCAGCTTGAAAGCCCCACTTAGCTTATGCTGATGCCCTGATTCACAAGAATTCTATGGATCTGAACCACTCTACAAAAATAGTTCATGTTTCCATTTCTTCCCTTGACCAACAAATAGGTCATGGCCATAAATAGACAGTGGCAGCCCTTGGAAGATCATACTCAAGAAGAGAGGTCACTTACACCATCCACGCCCTGAGCCAAGGCTTCAAACATGATAGGTTGTCACGAAAGGAGGTGCTGGGTGTCACAGAGCAGAATACGCCTAGTAAAGATAGGGTGCGCATCCAACTCACACCCGGCGTCTGGTTTTGTATGGGCCCTAAGGGATGTGATGAGTGTGTTCACCTGATTATGAAGGACACTCGCTCCTAGAGTGGAGATAATTGCAGTTGATTTTCACTCTCAGACTTCAGCAACCACTGCTGCCATTCCAAACCTTTGCAAACCATGTGGGTACAGGAACATAGAGCAAACACTAGCCAGGACAGGTATTCTGGACAAGACCAGCCCTCAGGCACCCTAATCAGCTGTAGTGTACTTACCCGGCATCACTCCCTTGATGTCACTCTCAGGACTTACACAGTTCTTCTGTGTGATGTACAGGATCAACTTCTTTGCTGACTCAAACTGCTGGGTAGCCATTAGCCACCGGAGAGACTCGGGGAAGATCCTGCAAAGACACAAGGGGAATGCCTGAATGGCCTCCATTCTGTTTCATTTTAGTTATGTGTCATCGGGAAAGTCAGGATGGATTCTGGTAAGAAGTTACCATGACGATTTGACTCCTGCCAGCTCACGAGAGTCTTTAAATGGATCTATCATCTGGAAAAAGTAGATATTGCTATGATTTGAATGTTGGGTCCCCCATCCCCAAATGGAAAGTTATAATAAAATATATTTCAAATTACAGGCATTTAAAAAAAATCAAAATTGTTTACTGGTCTGTATTTATTAAAAATTAATTTGGATAACAAAACTTGAATAAGTAGAAACATCTCCAAATGCCATCAGTAAAATATGGCATTTTAAAATCAGATCTTTTCTTTAATATGAAATAATAGAACAAATGCCAATTCTCATGGCTTAAATTCCATCTTGCTAATATATTTGAATATAGTGTATGTAGTTTCTTTTCTTAATTTGTTGAGATTGTAGATCACTAACATTCATTTTTTCCCTCAATATATGGACTTAAAACCTTATAGTTTAATGTAAATATCAGTATAGCCACTTCTGTGTTTGATTCCAGTACCCTGTGATTTGTGTTAGGACCTCCTCTAGGCTTTGCTAGTCTGACAGCACAGGTTACTTTGTAGATTGTCTGTCAAACCTTAAAATATACAATAATGGGGGAAGGGTCAACGTAACATTATTTATACCCAGTGTTTATGGATACTAACCTTATGGTACGAAATCAAATTATAAATCAATGGTATTTGAGTAGTATCATTTTGTTCAAATCAAGGTCTGTGTTATATATACAGAGCAGTCATCTTTGGTCTCAGAATTTCCCAGGAGAACAGTGCTGGACCCAGGACAACCTGACCCACAGGAGAAGTTTTTCCTCTTGTCCCAGGCTTCAGAGTCATAGGCAGAGACCAAACTGCACTCAGTAGGCATGGTCTAGTGACTTCCAGATTGACAGATCTCTGGGACACTGTGTTATCCCTAGTAGCCATACAGTCTTTAGCCCATATTCATCACTCCTATGGTTGGGTCCTCAGACAACAGGGTCTGTATAACTCAAACAATTCTAACTAAAGGTCTTTTAGGATTGCAAGGCCTGTAGGATAGGCTTGGATTGCAGGCATGGTAATCCTTCATGTTTGAAGAAATGGGTGTAGGCTTCTCATGAGCTCAGACCCTTGCTGGGCACTAAATGATTTGTTGTTGTTGTTCTGATATAAACTGGGCATTGTCACCTCAGGACCATCTTTGATGCATCTACTGTTGATTTCAAGTCCTATGGAGGGAGACCTCTGTAAATACAATAAAGTATATACACACACTCAGCTTAGAGTGTCAAGGACCAGACCCTACATGTATGACATAGACTGGGACAAGGCAACTGAGGAAGGCAAAGGTTGAGACTCCAAGGAGAGGCAAAGCCATACTGAATCTATTTTAGGAAATAAGCGAGTACTGGTTCAGTTAGGCATGCTGTGTGCTGTGTGTGGATACGGGATTGAGAGGGATGACGTGGGGCGTGAAACTACTAGATTTGAGGAGGTGTAAGCTGGTGAAGCAGCAGGCTGGGTTTGAGATGGGAAGAGATGAGGTAAAAGGGGAGAAGAAGGGAGAGGAAGAGAAATGAGGAAGGAACCAGCACAGATACGCAGCTACTGATAGTGGGGAATGGAAGGACCAGCAGCCACAGGACCAGCTTGAAGGAAAATCAGGACTGTAGTCTCTCAAGAGATACAGGTGGGTGCACGACAGCCACACAATTGCCTCCAACAGCAGGCAATCCTGCAAGCCACTTTTCATCACACACTGGTGACTGCAGGTACTGCTCTACCAGTGTCTCAGGCTGAGCTACTGATGAGGCGGTACTGTTGACCCACTGGGCAGCTGGGAAAGCTCAGGCTGAGAATATCCATGAGCATTGCTCAGGACACTCGGCCATCAGACAGCAGACGGGATGAGTTGAGAGCTCACTTACAATAACCCTTTGTGGCAGTATGCCAGGCCACAAAGACAGCTGATATTAGTGAGTACTGTCCTTATGAGGATTTCTAGGGCTATATAGAAAGGCACAAGCCCAAGGTACAGGCACCGAATGCTTAGGTTTTAAGATGTATTCAAATGTATAGCAAAGTCAGAAAATACTGAGCTGTGGCTCCTGAGAAGGCCCAGGAGCCTGTCAGTTTGGGTAACACAGTGGGAACTTGATGGAATTTCTCAGGACACAAGTATGATATAATAACGCTCTAAAGTGTAAAAACCTTGGCAGAGATAGGCATGAAAGCTCACACCTATAATCCCTGTACTCAGAAGATTCACACGGGAGAATTGCTTTGAGTTCAAGACCATTGGGGCTACTTAGTGAACCTCAGGCCAGTCTGCAATACAGAATGAGACCCCCATCTTAAAAATCCAAACCTGGCCACAGCCTGGGGCCTGGAAGGAACATATCTCTAATGCTCAGGGATAGGGAATATTTCAACCAAAAATATCAAAACCACATAAGGCAGATGAAAGCCACATCTGACCAGTGCACCTCATGCTTGAAAAGCCATGAAGCAGAAATAAGTAAAAGAATCTCTGATTTGGATGGCACGGAGGTTGCATGATCAGTTTACTGAAAATAGCTCTTGATGGAAGAGCACTCAGGACTGACTCAGGGGAGAGACTACCAGAAGGGGAAGCTCCCGGTCAGCGCTGGGCCAGGTTGTGGGGAACAGAGAGGGCCCTGCTGTCATACACCGGGAAAGGCGGCAATCAGTGATAGAGGTACAGAGGCATTCCAACTCCTTACGGCGGGCACAGGAACCTCACACACAACAGACACCCTGATAAATCCCACTGTCTTGAAAGAAGACCCTGGTGATGCCCAGGAGTGGCAAAGTGATAAAACCAGTTTCAGTACCAGATAGGAATCTCTGTTTGGCATGTGTCCATAAGGCCAATAATTGCAACCATCCTTTCTGCTCTAGTACTGACATCCTATTAGGTACCAATACTAGCACAACTAAGTATGGGACTTGGCCTCTAGGATTCTTTCTATAGCATCCATGCTTTTGGTATTCTTAAGAAGCAAGATTAGGGCTAGTGAGATGGCTCATCATGTAAAGATGCTAACCACCAAGACTGAAGGCCTGAGTACTAGCCTCGTGACTTTCATGGTGTAAGGAGAGAACCAACGCCTGCAAATCATCTTCTGATCGCCACATGCTCACCATAGAACACACACACACACACACACACACACACACACACACACACACACAGAGAGAGACAGACAGACAGATAGACAGACAGACAGACAGATTTTTAAAATGATTTATTTTGTATCTATGTGTATGCATTTGCCTGTGTGAGTTCATATGGACTGTATGCATGCAGGTGCCTGTGGAGGCCAGTGGTATCAGATACCCAGCGATTGGAGCTATAGGCTATTGTGAGTCACCTAATAGGAAAGCTGGGACTGAATATGTATACTATGCAAGAGCGGTAAGTGCTCCTAACTACCGAGTCATCTCTCCAACTCTATAACTTTTTTAAAAAAAAGCAGAGTAAATATGTTTCAGGAAGACCCTGCACCAAACAGTGACAGTGAAATGTGGTCCTAAAGCTTCATATGGAAACTTTCTGGAGAGCTCTTCCCAAACGATGCCACTGTATCAAGAGAGAAACTGTCCTGCCTGGTAGGTTTGTTCTCTGTCTCTCTGTCCCTCTTCCTCCTCCTCTTCGTCTTCCTCTCTCTCTCCCTCCCTCTTCTTTTCAAGGAGGTCCAACCAGGAAGCCCAGGTTTGACTAGAACTCAGGGAAACCCTTCTGCCCCAGCCTCCCTAGAGCTGGGATTACAGGCTTACATCACCATTCCATTCTGTTTCTTTAAGCTCAATGGGAACATTCAGTTTAGTATTCAGCTGAGGCAACCTCTTCCTGTGCTTGCCTCAGCTCACATAAGGCAGAATGTGGTGACGTGTGATTCGACAGTAGCAGCAGGGTTCTATCTCACATTCCCATTCTCCTCTTTTTCCTGGGATGCACCTGAGCTAAGCCTAAGTCTGCTTTTACACCGCAGTCATTAGCTGCGGAACTGTCCAGTGAAAAAACCAGTACTTGGAACAAGCTTCTTTCTCCTCCACTGGAATGTCAGCACAGGCCCAGAAGAGGAGTCTGGACATTATAGGTATTCCAGAGAGATCCTACGGCAAAGCTGAAAACAATTTCCAGATTGAAAGTCAACTATGAAGCACTGGCCTTACTGGAGATCAGGATGAAGAAAGAGGGGTGCCATTCAAACTGCATCTCCTGCTGTGTCATGGCTCGGATCCCTCTGAGGATAATAGGATAGGAAATAAATAGGACAGAGTCCATTGAAGTCTAAGCCTTACACTGCCCCTTACTGTGGATAATGCTGGCAGCAGGTGTGAAGGCGACTCTTTGAGATTAAACTGTACAGCAATCAATTTGAATAATCTGTGATTGAGTCCTCTGTTCTATTGTGATTCTTTTTTTTCTGGTGCTGCGGGCTCTTCCTAACTTGCCACCGGTTGTCTACATGGATGTGTGCAGACTGACAGCTTGCAAATGACTTCCTTGTAGTTTTATGTCTTTATTTGATCCAAAGAAGAACCAATGACTCTCAAGTAGTCTGTGTGCTTTTACAAGTCCCAAATCTGAAATGAAATATAGTAACTGGAAAAAAATGTAAATAGAATTTGGGGATAGTTTGGTGAGAAGGTAATAATTCGAGTAGATCACAAGGTTTTTAGAAAATTTGCAATAAAGGGAATTTTGTCATCTAAATTTTTAGTAATATATATGTATATATAACTGATAACAATTTTTAAAAATTGGTACATGGTACTATAAGGCTGATCATTTGCCTGTAAGGTTTAAACATAATCAACTATTTTCTTGTCCAATGGGAGAATCTAACATCAACAAGCTTCTTATCTGCGTAGCCCTTTTGTGCATTAACATACATTTACTATACAA